GGAAAACAATGTAAAAAGATCAAAATGTGCATGTGGAGAGGACAAGGCCCGAGAAAGGTTATTTGCAAATGGACTCAAGGCAGACAGGACTTTCCCTCCTGAGGCCCCTCTAGGGGCTCCATGTTCACTACTGACGTAGCTTTGAATCCTCCTGGGATCCTTGTCCAGGACTCTGAATTCCTTTTCCTGCTTGTTTTGTATCCAGGAGGAAAGATTTGTGACGCAGCTTTAAGGCTACTGCTGGGCCTCGTTCCATAAACATGACTGCTCCCTGTCAACTAGGATTCTCAGCACCCCTGCCTTCCTTATGCAATTCACTTTAGGGCAGAAATTCCCTAGAAAGCTCCCAGCCTCTGTCTCAGGTTCATCCTGGCTCCTCCTCCCTGGCTTGGCCTGATGGATCCCAGGTGAGCTCTGCTTTGACAGGATAAGGGACCATAATCCTGGCCAATGAGTGACCCCACATTGTCCCTTGCTGTCCAGGGTGACTTGTGAGCCCATGTCATTCTGAGGTCCATGGTCTTGGACAGTCCTCCAGTTTACACACTCAGTGTTGGTGTTACCAACTCATCGAAATGGGGCAATTGGGCCTGAGCCCTTAAACTGTGTTGCCCCTGGGTGGCTGTGTTTTGTCCCCAGTATTCTGCTGTGGTTACATCACAACCATCTGTTGGAGTGTGAACCCTGTTTGGAGCTTTGAAAGATGAGGCATGAAAGGGGTGTGGGGGTGGTCCAGCAGGGAATGCCACGGAACTGATGATCCATGGACGTGCATGAACACAGCCTTACCAATTAAAATACTGAAATGCTTCCATCTGGTGGTGAACAGACACTGCTCTGAGCTCACACTGAGAACTCACCCCATGACTAGGAGTTTTGAAAGGGTTACCACATAGCATTTTGAACCTCATCCCTTGGGAACACCCCGTAAGACAAGGGCCAGATGAATCGCTTGGCACTCGTGAGTTATCCCCTGCTTTCTGATGGCTGCAAGTGTCACCCAGACACACAGGCTGGACTCTGCCAAGGAAGCCTTCTCAGGACAGCCAGAAGCTGAGAATGAATCGTGGTTCCCGGCATCCTAGGCCCTTCCTGACACAGCACAGCTACCCAGGAAAGTGATTTGGTAATGGAAAGACTGGGATGCCGTACTTTCCCTCCAAAGAGAAAGAGAAGTGCGAACAGTGAAAGCTTGATCCCTCAAATAGACAATTAAGTCCCAACAAGCAGTGTGTTCTTGTCAGATTACTGATGCTGAAAAGGTCTCTTTTGATAATAGCACGATCCCCCAACTGTCACGTCCATCTTTATGAATCAAATTTCCAACACATATGGATCTAAAAAACTGAGGGAAATCTGGTATTTCCTTAGATGCAACTCTGAAGTAGCATGCAACAAAAAAACAGAAAAACGGAGACCTAGAAGTAAATATCTTATTTGAGAACATAGACATCAAAGTGCTTTTGAAATAATATTTTGGAATCTATTGGAATATTACACAAAAAGAATAATCCACTTTAAGTAGGTTTTACTGTGACTGTGAGGGGAAAAACTGAATCATCCTGTGACATTGATAACTCGCTGCTGACTTTAAAGTACAAATAAATAATGTACATAGTAAAG